AAGAAAAAATAATTTTAAACATAATTAAGTAATATAGCATTTATTATTATTATTATTATTATAGTAATTATTTGTGTGCTTTTTTTTTTTTTTAAAGATTCTAACTTAAAAAAATATTTTAATTAGTTGTTATGTTATCAATTATATCTTTATATCTCACTTAACTTTTAATTAATTTATACATAACAATTAATATGCATTTATTATAAAACAAAAATGGAAAAAGATATAATAGAAAACATTTTTTGATTTATGTAAAATTTATGTGTGTGTTGTTTGTGGATAGATAAATAGAAATAGAGAGATTATGATAAAAATTCATATATTTCAGAAATTTATATTTAGTTGTTAAATTTAATAAATATATTATATTTAATAAATATAATATTAATACTATTTAAAATATTTTTTGTTATAAAAATCCTACATTAATAGCATTAAAGGTTACATTTATATTAATATCTATGAATAAATCTCATTAATATGAGTACTTTAATTCTTCATTAAGTATATTTAACTTTATTAAATTTGATTATATCCAACAATAATGTTAGGTCGATCAGGTCTAATTTACACACACATATGTGCTAGAATTACTAGGGTAGCTAGGTTTAATTACGCGATAAAAGAAGTATGTATAAATCATATGTTTAAATCATATTTCTGTACTTGTAAATTTGATAGTTAAAAAAGTTATATAAATTGATTAAATTGTATTTTTAGTCTTTTTAATTTTTTCAATTTGTAATTTTAGTTCTTTTATTTTAAAATAGAGATATTTAGTTATTTATTTTTAAAAAATGTTAATTTTTTGTTTTATTATCAATTTAATGGCTGTTGATTTCTAAATTTTAATAATGTTCAATAAGCTATCATTATTTAAGTAATATGATATTTAATAATATGATATGTAGAGATAAAAATTAAAAAATAACAAACAAAAAATCTTCGTTTGTATTTATTTATTTTAGTGACTAATTGATATTTATTTTATTAATAAATCTTATTTACATGTTTTATTTAATTTTTTTTATTATTTTCAAATATTATGAGTAAATATTACAACTTAATGATTAATACATGTCAATTTAGCAAGAGTCATAATTTTATAATTTTGAAATTAACTGAATTAAATGTTTTTATTTCAAAATAAAAGATCAAAATTGCGGATCAATAAAAATAAAAAAGTCAAACAATATAATTTAGTAATATACTAATAATTTGTTGATTTGAATAATACTTGACTTTATATAATTGAATAAAGTCTCGAGTTCAAATTTTTATATATAAAAGAAATTTGATTAACCTTATTGAAAGGAAAAACTCTACTAAAAAAATCAATTAGGTTTCTCAACGGAAATTACTCATGAGAAAAAATATATGCGTAGATAGATAAACAGATGAATAAATAAATGGTACAAATTATTTTATTTAAAGTGACATATAATATATAGTGTAATTAATATTTGTAAATATTTTCAATAAAGGAGTAGTATGGAGTGACGCAGAGTACTTGGATTGTTTGCAAGTCTATATAATATTTTAAAAAATTATTTAAAGTGATTTTTTATTTATAATATATAACAATATATAATATTATATATTATTATATAAATTAATATCATATAATATTTTTTATAAATTGATATTTAATTTA